TCTCTCTCTCTCTCTCTCTCTCTCTCTCTCTCTCTCTCTCTCTCTCTCTCTTCCGGTGAGTCATGCTAATAGCTAATACAAGTAGATTATTATGCCGGTAGCTTTGCTAACAAACTATTGTCTTCACATCACCCAAGTGGAACAGGGTACCAGACAATCATCATCATCATCAACATCACCATCATCATCATCATCATCATCCAGCGCCTTGCCGACTGGCGTGGGCGATCATGGAACACTGTCTTGCGTTGCAGCGATGGTGTCTGTTGTCCTTGCTGTTCCTTGCCATGTTGTCATCTTGTCCAGTATCTTTTCCCTCTGTCTGCCCCTGCCTCTCTTTCCATCAAACTTGCCTGTTGTTACAATATTCTCCAATACTTCTGTCCGCATTGTGTGTCCAATGAAATTTGCCTGTTGCTTTCGTACATATACATCTTCTTCTTCTATCCCGTGGTTGGGGCAACCGTGGGGGCACCACTGCATCTGAAAACCAGCTCTCGCCATCTATTTTGTCCTCTGCTTTCCTCAGAATGTCACCCATCGTCTTCCTTCCCTGTCCACTCTGTGTAATGTTGTCCTCCCATCTCCTTCTCTGCCTTCCTCTCTTTCTCTTTCCTTGTACCGTTCCTTGCAGGATTGTTTTGGTAAGTCCTGTGGATCTTGTGACATGCTCATACCATACATAACATAATTAATTTTTAAAAATAAAATCAATCAAATATTTAAAACGAAACCTTTTTGTTTTCCGTCGTCAGCAGGTGCATGTCTAAAAAATATAACATTACAATAAAATAAAATAAATAAAATATTTAAAACAAAAACTTGTTGTTTCCTGGCCCCAGCGGGCGCATGTCTAAAAAAATATCTATACATAGATCTAGTAAAAAAAATTAATAAATAAAAAATGTTAAACAAAACTTTTTTGTCCCCCCCCCCCAATTCCTCAGCGGGCGCATGTCGACCAAAGAGGTAGACGAGCAGATGCTGAACGTCCAGAACAAGAACTCGTCCTACTTCGTGGAGTGGATCCCCAACAACGTGAAGACGGCCATGTGTGACATCCCGCCGCGCGGACTCAAGCTCTCCTCCACCTTCGTGGGCAACACCACCGCCATACAGGAGCTCTTCAAGAGGATCTCCGAGCAGTTCACAGGTAGAGGGTGGTTGGCGGGTGCTCTGTTATATATGTTGTGTTATTATGATTATTAAATGTATAAGGATTATCAAGCTCTCCTCCACCTTTTCACAGGTGGCGCTTTCTGTCTCCGTGGTTTTATTTTATTTTATCATCATCATCACCATTGATCATCATCGTTGTCTATCTATCTCCATGCAACCATGTTCTCACACAAGGCGTTCCTTCAATGGCACACGGGCGAGGGAATGGACATTTAGGGATTTCTTTTTTTTTGTTTTTGAGGGGGGTGGTGGTGTTGTGCATTAATTACTATTATAAGTAGTAGTAGAAGTAGTAGAAGTAGTAGTAGTAGTAGTAGTAGTAGTAGTAGTAGTAGTAGTAGTAGTAGTAGTAGTAGTAGTAGTAGTAGTAGTAGTAGTAGTATAATTATAAAATCATCATCATCATCATTATTATTATTGTTATAATGATGATGATAATTATTATTATTATAAAATGTATCAATATTGTTATTATTATTATTATTATTACCATAATCATTATTAATATTATCAACATTATTAATATTATCTTGATAATTATTATTATTAATAATTATCATTAAAAAAAATTAACATTTATTTTTATCCGCCGCTTCTACCCTTTTGGGTGTCGCAGGAAGAAAGAGACGTCTCTCTGCCACCAGCCGGAGAGCTTGGGTCAGGGGGATGCCGTATCATTATTAATATTATTGTCATTATTATCATTATCATCATCATCATCTTCGTCTCTCTGTGTCCATGCAGCCATGTTCCGGCGCAAGGCGTTCCTTCATTGGTACACTGGCGAGGGGATGGACGTTTAGGGATTTCTTTGTTTTTGGGGAGGGGGGGTGGGGTGCATTAACTACTATTATAATTAGTAGTAGTAGTAGTATAATTATAATATCATCGTCATCACCATTATTATTATTATTGTTATAATTATTATTATTATCTATATTGTTGTTATTATTATATCATAATTATTATTAATATTATCACCATTATTAATATTATCATTATCATAATCATTATTAATAATAATATTGTCTTTATTATTATTATCATCGTCAATATTTTTTATCATTAATATTATCATTATATC